CTCTGCTCTTTGTAAAATTATTTTATTTTTTTCCGGTAGTCTTATATGGCATTCAAAATTCTTCCACAAATATGCAAACAAAATCAAAGCAGTACATTGACATATTGATTGTATAATAAAAATATAAAATTTATTCTGTGATATTTAAAGAGCGAAATAAATAAGACCTAATACGTCTAATTTATCAACTCTTATTTAACTTTTTCACATTTGTGTTAATTTTTGCATTTTTGTGAACATAAAAATTTATGAGGTACGCGATTGTACATTTAATCCTTTTTTATATTTAAATTGGATAATAAATTCAAATTTACTTTGCTTCCACATACGTGTCATTTTGTATTATTAATGGTAGATGATTATAATAAAATATAATTTTGATAATTGGTGTTTTATTTTGTTAAAACATATATATATATATATATTATATAGAATTCTAAACGGCATTATCAACATTTGTTTATTATATTAAACGTATGTACAAATATTATATATTTTTATCTAGCTCTCTTATATATATAATATATATATAAATATATATAAATTACATATAAGCCAAATTTATATAAAATTATATTGATGAACATATATGATCAGAATCTAATATTTAATATATCCCAATACACACACATATTAGATTACCTAAGTCCTATATTGTCAGTATGGTTCTCTGTTCTATATTCGCTGAACAACAAGGACAAAATGTCGTAGCACATGCAACTGAAGAGTACAGATTTACACTTTTTACACGTTTACACATTTCCTTCTTTTTCCTTCCTGAAATTATGAACGTATTTCCATCTCACTTTACAGTGAAAGAGAGTGCAATACTAAAAGACCAATATATTTTATAAACAGATATAACTTAACCTAATATAACCAAAGGCGACAACTAAGTTTTAGTTCAACTTGATGTACGCATATTCTTGTTCTTATTGAAGAACTCTGTGTGTTTTGAGTGATTAATACGATATTCCTTTTTTCCAGGATTATATACATATAATATTGATAATAGAATCAAGATTAATCTTAAACATTGGTTTATATAAAATCTTATCAATTCATAACAATATTATAAATTTATAAGTGGTTTGAAGCTCACACAAATATTAAACTAAATGTCTGAGATAACAATAAAGCTGTTTTAGCTGCTGTATAAAAGTGACACGTCACTGAATCACCAAGTGTACTTTGTAGCTACAAACGATTTCAAGATGAGTATACCTCCCATCAAACCACCACGTGGCATTAAACCAACCAAGGAAACGGTAAGTAAATTTTGTAGCTAAGATATCATTAGTCTTAAATTCTGTTATGAGTAGGATGATGTTAATGTGAGTAATAAATGTATTTTGCAGAGTGGTCTGTTGATCTCCGTAATTCGTGCTTTATCAGCAAGTGAAACAAATGAGCAACGCGAAATTGAGAAGGCTAAACTAGAAAAAGAGTATAAGCGGAGCGATCAACGATTAGACGAATTAGTCTCCCTGCATGATCAGGATCTCACGGAAGTTATGCAAGTAAATCTACACATTTATATGTTTATCAAGGAACGTAAATACTTTAGGGATCTCAGCAAAATGTCCAGTGGAGCAATAGATCTCTGTAACTTTCTTTACAACAATGTATCACAATGTTTCATTATATTTTACTTTAGATATTCAGCGCATTGTCTGAGAAAGTAACATCATCACGAGAGAAGATTCATGCGGTAAAAGAGAATTTAAATGCCTGTAAACAATTGCTGAGGTGTAAGCGAGAGGAGTTACTCAACTTGTGGCTAGAAGGAATAGAACATAAACAAGTCTTACATCTTTTAAAAGATGTGTAAGTTAAAAAATTTGTGTAATTTTATAATTTACAATTAACATTTGTGGCCATATTACGCTTCATGTACTACACATATGTATTCAATTGTTTATTTTTGTAACTTTTTTTATTTCAGATCTGCAGACTCATGTGGACGTATGGTACCTTTAATAGAACCTGAATCATTAGCATCATCCAATACATCGCATGGTCCCTCAGTAGACCAATAAATATTCTATATATATATTTCACTTAACATTTTATAATATATCAATAATAGATGTTACTTGATCTAAAAGTTATGAATTTAATGTGTAGAAATTTATAACAATAAGAATAAAATTAATCAGTTGAAATTATGTCATACAGTATTTTTAAGTTATGTAAATATACAAGTAAGATGAATATATAAGTAAGAATATATATGTATATTTCTATTTTCTTTTAGTAGCTCTATTTAAAAAATAAACATGAGAAATTTAAACTAAGGAACCAATCAGGTATTAGGTTTAAGCTCAAGATAATATCCTGATTGGTTCTTCAACTTAAGTTTACATCTTACGTTTACAGTTACAGCGACTTGTGTTGAAAATCCTAATTTTCTCGATGAAGTCTGAGCTTTATAAAGGTTGCTTTCTAGCATGAGACACAAGTTTAGTTATAGTTGTTTTTCAGCAAAATACACAGATCCAGTTATCATTTGTCCTTATTTTGCATCTAAAGGAAAGAGCAATGATATAACTAGACTTATGTCAGCTTGTATCTCTTGCTGGAAAATAACAAAAAGGATGAAATTTGGAAATTTGAATCTGTTCTACTAATGTGAATTCATGAAAAATAATAATTTTTCAACTTGAAAGCGGGGGGTCATTTTTAAGTGTTTTTTATTTCACAAATTCACGCTAGAGGAAAAGATTCATGATCGCCTCCACGAGCATAAGTACACCTAGGTGGCGCTTTTCTTCGTCTTTCGCTGGAACGTTGCCAAAACACGAGTTTCGTTGCCGTCTATCGAAACCTCGTTATCAACGGCGTTTCCTGTTGGCACTATCGAAAAGTGGGTGTTGCTCTTGTCACTCGTCTGCTCGCGGTTGCACGCAACGTAGCGAGGGTGGCGCAGGGCGGATACGTAAGGTGAAATTGTAGTGAGGATCTCGGCGATCGTCGCGAGGAGTCATGCGTAAGTGAGTCTCGATACAGGTCGGTCCGGCCGACCGACCGATCGATCGATTGATCAGTCCCCGTTTTTTACGGTCAAGCGTGACCCCGCTCGACGTTTCGCGCGCGCGTTTTTCGGCAGTGGTGACGACGACGACGACAGCAAAGAGGGTTACGCAGGGCCACAGGTTCGATCGATAATACTAACCGTTCGCAAGACATACCGGACGGACGGACGGTCCAAATGTCACTTGAGAAATCAATCGGGACGTTATCTGCCACCCCAGGCATATTTATAACATCTCGCGTGATATCGAAGTACCAGTCGACGGACTGGCCGATATCGCGTTCTCGTCAACCGTAGATCTCTCGCACGGTTCTCTCGGGTCTTCTGAGAGTTCGCCAAGTTGGAATTTCGTGGACATACTTTCGCGTGTATCTTTTTATTGCACAGCATGTTGTTTATCAATAATGGAGTATCGGGATCGCTGGCTTCGATTTGCGTCACGATCGATTTTACTCCCGGAGCAGCCTTATGAATTTTAGAGCATTCGAGCGGGGTAGACTTGAGAGGTTGATTGCTCTTGATTTAAATACTTTTTAAAACATTCACAGAGAGAGTGAAGAGATTTTCTCGCGCTGCTACTTGCGACAATAGAATCTTGCATTGTTCCAAATTTAGTTTAATTGTTTCGATCATCAGTCTTGTTTTAAAGCTGTTATTGAATCGGTGTTTCTTGCAGGTTGATTTCGGCTTAAGCGACTGATACTACCCTCTGTCAAAATGATAGGGGGTCTGTTTGTTTACAATCACAAGGGCGAAGTACTGATCTCCCGAGTGTATCGGGATGATATTGGCCGGAATGCGGTGGATGCGTTTCGTGTTAATGTCATTCATGCACGGCAACAAGTACGATCGCCCGTGACCAACATCGCCAGAACATCGTTTTTCCATATAAAACGCGCCAACATCTGGCTGGCTGCTGTCACCAAGCAAAATGTCAATGCTGCCATGGTGTTCGAGTTGCTGCTTAAAATCATAGATGTTATGCAGTCGTACTTTGGCAAGATTTCGGAGGAAAACATCAAGAACAACTTTGTGCTCATTTACGAACTGCTGGATGGTTAGCATAAAATTTGATCGACTTTTTAACCCTTTTGTAATGATTTTCAATGCATAGAGTTAAATTCACTATTTGCCACAAGGCAGAACCATAGCCATTACACGTCTCCAAATATCCAGGAGATGTGTAAGGGATTTTAGTCTCACTCTTCTTAAAATAGTAGAACTTTTTTCTAAGGCTGCATTCTGATATTCACCTCTATACTGAAAATCTATAGTATACATAACATAAAGTATAAATTAGTACTGGTAGTGAATTTTGGAACACAGCCTAAGTCATAGACTAAAGTCGTTAATTGCATTCAAATATATTTTAAATCAATCTTAGTCAATTCACGCAGGGGAAGAGTTAATGATCGCGTTAAAACTTGTTATAGGAAAGGAGATCCTGTGAAAAATTTTGATCGTTTCTACCGTTTATTTTCTTGCAGAAATTCTCGACTTTGGATATCCACAGAACTGTGATACGGGAGTACTGAAGACGTTCATCACCCAACAGGGCGTCAAGTCGGCCACGAAGGAAGAACAGGCTCAAATAACATCGCAGGTCACCGGCCAGATCGGGTGGCGGCGGGAGGGCATCAAGTACAGACGCAACGAACTCTTCCTGGATGTACTCGAATACGTGAATCTCCTAATGAGCCCTCAGGGCCAGGTTCTTAGCGCGCATGTAGCTGGAAAGGTAAATCGATCGTGATGGAGAATGTTCAATAACGATCGAGATCGTTCCGAATTTCCAATGGAGAATCCTTTTTTCAGGTCGTGATGAAGTCGTACTTGTCGGGAATGCCAGAGTGCAAGTTCGGCATTAACGACAAGATCGTCATGGAGGCGAAGGGCATGAAAGGAGGCGGCGCATTGGGAGGCGGTGGTGACGACCCCACGGGCGCCAGGTCCGGCAAGCCGGTCGTCGTCATCGATGACTGCCAATTCCATCAGTGCGTTAAGCTTAGCAAATTCGAGACCGAACATTCCATTAGTTTTATACCGCCAGATGGTGAATTCGAGTTGATGAGGTGAGCGGAGACATAAGAGGAGATCCCTCGAGTATTCGATTAAAACATGTTTGTACTCACGTCGCTCGTTCATCGTTCGTTCTGTTGCAGATATCGCACTACGAAGGATATATCGTTGCCCTTCCGTGTGATACCGTTGGTGCGCGAGGTGGGTCGAACGAAGATGGAGGTGAAGGCAGTGCTGAAGTCGAATTTCAAGCCGTCGTTGCTCGGCCAGAAGATCGAAGTGCGCGTACCGACGCCGTTGAACACCGCCGGCGTGCAGTTGATATGCCTGAAGGGTAAAGCGAAGTATAAGGCGTCTGAGAACGCGATCGTGTGGAAAATCAAGCGCATGGCCGGTATGAAGGAGACGCAGCTGTCCGCCGAGATCGACCTGCTAGAGACTGACACGAAGAAGAAATGGACGAGGCCGCCGATATCGATGAATTTCGAGGTGCCGTTCGCGCCGTCCGGCTTTAAAGTACGTTATTTGAAAGTGTTCGAGTCCAAGCTGAATTACTCCGACCACGACGTGATCAAATGGGTCCGCTACATTGGACGCAGCGGCCTGTACGAAACGCGGTGTTAACGGACCAGCTTGCCGAACGCATAAATAATTGTAAAGAAGTAATCTCAATATGATAAAAAAGAAAGAAAGAAAGAAAGAAAAAAAAGAACAAAACACATGAAACACTATGAATAATCGAATATCGAGTATTTGTCGATATTATTTCATTGCAGCGCATAAATACGAAGCGACGATCTGAAACATTCGGATGACTCGATCCTCACCGGACGCGTGCATCAAGTAGCGCAACTTACGAGCTACGTCATTTGAGGAGGAATTATCCGTGATGATCGACACGGAAACAGTAGTAGAACGGCCGCAGGACATTTTGCTTCTCGTACGTTATACATCGTGCTAGTGAGAGCGAAGTTTCTGTTTAAATTGTCCTCGTTCCACGCTACCAATGTGATACGCCGGGAGAAACCCGCTGAGTGGAAAATAAAAAAATGGCCTCCAGCTTGCCTGAGGAGGGGGAATGTTGTTGAGCGAGTCAACGTGGTAATCGGAGGATTAAACCAGGGTGATTATTTCTTTCGTGCCAATTTTTCATGTCGTCCACTGCTTTTCTCTCGTGTTGAGTCTCGCGATCCAGTTCCGCGCGGTGTCGCTTCGTGCAAACTCTGGTTTGTACGAGGATCTTGATGATGTTTTCGAAATTCTTTTCCCCGACGAGCAGATAATGCCGATCAGGCTACGCTGTCTATCATTGAATCGTGTCTTTACCTCTTTCTTCCGAAGCTGTTTCCGAATTAGGTTTTTATCGACTTTCCGTTTTCCGTGCACGCGAAGGGCCGATGTGATCAGTGAAATTTACATTATACGGAATAATATATCGCAAGTAACAATTGCATTAGCATTAATTCCGGGGCGGACAATTGCCGGCTCTTGATTTGCCTTTGGAATTAGCAAAGCCACTACAATGTTACAATCTACGTTCACGAGATAAACGTAATTGTAAGTTTATACGTTACTATACTATGTAATGTGTTTTCTTTTTTTTTATTATTATTATATCATGATATAATGAATTTCTGTATTAAAACATTGATATATACATATATATATATATATATATATATATATATATAT